TCTAAACTCCAGAAAACAGAAACTTGTAACTATAAGTTAGCCTCTCTTTCATCTACCTCTCCACCTTTGTGTTTTTGACATACACAGTTTTTACAGATGTGGATGTTCTTCCATTTGTCCATGCAGCCATAGGAGTACAGGGGCAGGTACAGAAGGTACCTGTTGGCTCATTAGAGTTGCCCACAACTAATGGATCTTTGACTCCAGCAGCTAGAGGCCTGTGTGTGTGTGCTTACATGCTTTTGCTTACATGTATATTAACGTGAGATATATTTTGCTCATAAGCGTGTATATTGATTGGGATACCTTATAGTTAGTTACTGTGACTCTTGCCATCTTCAAATCTGTAATTAGGTCACTGTTCAATTATTTTGTTAAATCACTTTGTAAATGTTTAAATTGGTTAATGATTAAGTGCTGCTAAAATTCAACCTCTTGATCTACCTCAAATTGTTAATAAATTTTGAATCTGTTAAATCAGAATCATATCAAATAGTTCCACCCATGACAAGGTGACAGAGAGAAATCATTTTTAGGAATGTCACATTTAACTATAAAAGAGCCAAAAGGACACAAAGCCACACAGTAGCCATGCTCATCACTTTGCACCTGTGAAAAGTACAACACATTCTAATGTAAAAAGCTACTGGTTAGTAAAACATTTCAGTATTTTGATCGTGTTCTATTATGCTCCCCAGAAAAAAAAAAAAAAACAAAAAACAAAAAACAAACTTCCTTGATTTCCACAGAAGTAAATAACTTTATTCTTTTTTCTGGAAAGAAGTGACACAGTAGGTTTCACTCTGATTTGTAATACAAGGGAGTTCTGTAACAGCAAGGTCCTCTACAATAGCTGGGTGTAGGAGAATTGTATAGAAGCACTATAAAACAAGCTATTCTGAAGACAAAAAGACTTAGAAAGGTGGGGTGAGGTTCCACTGTCAACTACAGTCCACAAAAAAGAAATGCTAAAGAGCTAACCTAGACATCTGCCTAAGGCACAGTTTCAGTAAAATTGCCAAAATTCACAAAAAAATAAAACACACTAAAAAAACCCAAACCAACTCACACCCAAAAAAACCCCACAAAAGCCAAACCACACCCCTCCAAAAAAAAAAAAACAAACAAAAACAAACAACACCACAAACCAGCAAAACCATGAATCCCCCCCCCATCCACATGCCTCAATTTTTATATCAAGTTGTGCTGGTTTTGGTTGCAATAGAGTTAATTTTCTTCACAGTAGCTAGTATGGGGCTGTGTTTTGGGTTAGTGCTGGAAACACTGGTGATAACAGAGGGATGTTTTAGTTACTGCTGAGCAGTGCTTATACCGCGCCAAGGCCTTTTCTGCTCCTCACACCACTGCACCAGCGAGTAGGCTGGGGGTGCACAAGGAGCTGGGAGGGGACACAGCCGGGACAGCTGACCCCAACTGACACAACGGATGATATTCCATACCATATTACATCACACTCAGCATACAAAGCTGGGGAAAGAAGGAGGAAGCAGAGAGACATTCAGAGTTATGGTGTTTGTCTTCCCAAGTAACCATTACGCTCAATGAAGCCCTGCTTTCTGGGAGATGGCTGAACACCTACCTGCTGATGGGAAGCAGCGAATGAATTTCTTGTTTTGCTTTGCTTGTGGGCGCAGCTTTTGCTTTACCTATTAAACTGTCTTTATCTCAACCCACGAGTCCTCTCACTTTTACCCTTCCAATTCTCTCCCCTATCCCACTGAGTGGGAGTGAGCTGGGGTTAAACCACAACACGTCTGCCAGACACTGCTCTTCCAAGGGCTTAGACAATCACTTAAACAGCCAAACATTTTTGTTATGACCACAGCAATTTGAAAAACAACTTTGAGAGCTTCTTCTATAATGGCAGCTCTGTTAAAATAAGTTCTAAGACTACTGTTGTTAATAACTTCAAATATTCAGTAACATCTTTATTCAAAGGGCTACATTAATAGCATTTAAACAGTTCTTTTTTCAAACATTCTCAAGCTTTAACTTGCAACTGAGCATTCAGTTGAGGCAGACTCTGATCTGTGCCTTATCAGAATTTTTTTTGTAGCATTGTGATTTTTTGCAATTTATTACTGTATTTTTCACCACCTTCTTCTAGAATCTTAAGTTAGATCATAGTTCTTCTGTCCAGATCAGCCACTAATGTTATCACATACACAGAAATACCTGTAATCTATTTTCCATTGTAGCAATTTTGTGTACTGAATTACTCGGAACAGACGCTGCTTAAAGCTAGTGCCTCTGATCTCAACAGGACTCCAGTCTCTTTCTACCTTCTTCCTCTTTCCCGTAAAGCTGCATTATTTAGTAACTTTCTGACTTCTCATGAATCTAAACATGCTGAAAATTTTAAAAGGCAATTACCTACAATTTATTTTTGAAACCAGATTATAGACACACTGCTTTTTCTATTTCAGTGGGTCTTTCTACAATGCAGAGGTCCACAGAAGTACTAAGAACGCCTTCCAAAGCCACACTGACATCTGTTAAACGTCACTGTTAATCCTTTGTTCCATTAAATTTGAACTCATATAAAACACTGAGGACACTACTTTGGAGATCTGTTTTGTGAACAGAAAAGATGCAACACATACCAATCCAGAAGTCTCTTACTTAATTGACTTCCAAAGCATTTTCAGCATGAAAGACTAAACCTTTGTATTTGCTCACTTCAGAGAGAGTGTTCACCAGCAGAGCTCCTGTGCAAAGTTTTAATAACTTATCTTTTATAAAGTTCCCAATCAATATAGGTACATTTCTTCCTGATAGAAGACATAATTTTACATACAGCTACTCTGAAGGTATTGCTGGATAACTGAAGGAACCATAAATCAAAAAGTTTTTAATCACTCACATTTATTAAATTCTGTAATCTTGAACCACATTACACAAATGATTGACTTCTCCAATCTTGTTACATCTATACTATTTGATTTGTATGTACATAAACAGTTGCCACTGACAGCTGTCTGCCGCTATCCTGCAGCAGAATATTTCACCTCAGCGGAAAAACCTATCCATTTTAGGTGCATATGTTGCTTTTTAAAGACGATCATAAAGCCTGCAAGGCACATACCTTTTCGTAGTAAACTATTCCATATTCTTTATCATCACACTTGACACAACGGAATTCAATCATCAGGTACATAAAATTAGAACTTCGTTTTTCCCTCTGAGAAGAGAAGCACCACAGATGTGTATCATATATTAAAGTGCATAAATCTTCAACATTCTCGGTACAGCAATTACCCTACTTCCTTTGTGCTATAACTGATTAATTAGATTATAAGTTGTTGTAGAAATTATTCAGTTAATCATTTCATAGCACTACTTGAGACCATGTCACCTTCTTCCTGACATTCTTACTTCCTTACATTCCCACTTCATGATAAACATCCACATGTAACAGATAAAACCACATTGTTTTCATCAGTGGCTTGCAACTGTGGACTAAAGGTCTGCAAAAAGGCAATGAGGAATAACCAGCTGACAGCTGAGGGTTTTTTTTGTTGGTTTTTTTTAATCATTAAACACAATTATGCATGTCAGAGTCAAAAGCCAGAAGACATGAAAAAAAAAATACCATTTTAAATAGAATCATGAAAGAGACAAATTAAACATGGACTACAAGATTAGATTTGCAGCTCATTCATTTTCAGAGGAAGATTTGCTCATGTATGCATTCTTGAAACGCCTTCGCAAGAAAAAGTGCTTAGAATTTTAAAATTTAAGTGGGAAACAAGAAAGAAGTTATACATAGCGTGACCTGGACAGGCTGGAGAGTTGGGCAGAGAGAAACCTTATGAAGTTCAACAAGGGTAAGTGTAGGGTACTGCATCTGGGGAGGAATAACCCCATGCACCAGTACAGGTTGGGGGCTGACCTCCTGGAGAGCAGCTCTGTGGAGAGGGACCTGGGAGTCCTGGTGGACAACAGGATGACCATGAGCCAGCAATGTGCCCTGGCGGCCAAGAAGGCGAATGGCATCCTGGGGTGCATCAAGAAGAGTGTGGCCAGCAGGTCGAGGGAGGTCATCCTCCCCCTCTACTCTGCCCGGGTGAGGCCACATCTGGAGTACTGCATCCAGTTCTGGGCTCCCCAGTTCAAGAAGGACAGGGTTCTGCTGGAGAGGGTCTAGCAAAGGGCTACAAAGATGATTAGGGGATTCGAACATCTCTCTTATGAGGAAAGGCTGAAGGACTTGGGTCTCTTTAGTCTAGAGAAAAGAAGACTGAGGGGGGATCTCATTAATGCTTACAAATGCTTAAAGGGAGGGTGCCAGGGGGATGCGATAGTGGTGCCCAGTGATAGGACAAGAGGTAACGGGCACAAACTTGAACATAGGAAGTTCCATCTTAACATGAGGAGGAACTTCTTTACTTTGAGGGTAGTGGAGCACTGGCACAGGCTGCCCAGAGAGGTTGTGGAGTCTCCCACTCTGGAGACATTCAAAACCCGCCTGGACGCTGTCCTGTGCAACCTGTTGTAGGTGCCCCTGCTCTGGTGGGAAGGTTGGACTAGATGATCTCCAGAGGTCCCTTCCAACCCTGACCATTCTGTGATAACCACCACAAGGAACATATATTTAATGCAAAAAATAAGCATACCCTTTAATAACAAGCAACTCCAGTTTGTTTCACGCATTAATAGTGGACTGACTTTCCAGCACAGGCAAAGTGGTTCTGCATTTAAGGAACAGCTCTAGCAATCAGGAGTTTTTAGTTTCTGTTTTTTTACAGAAAGGGAAAAGGGCAGGAGAAAAAAGGGATAGGCTTAGGTGTTTTTTAAAAAAATATTCCTAAGTGTTTATAAAAACACAAATTCAAGTTCAAAAAGAATCTGATTCCCAGAGGTCTGGGAAAATAAGAAGAAAATAAATAAGAAAACAAAAATCTCAAAGCACAAAGCAAAAAACAGTTTTGTTGTGCAATATGAGAATAATCACTAAACATTTTAGGGGTGATTTTGTTCAATGAGGGTTAAGACCTCATTCGGGCATTTAACTACCAGATTATTGGGTTTTTTTAAATATTCATTCAAATCTTACAAGTATTTTTCCTTAGCACCCAAAATCAAAACCATTAAAGCTGAACAGGTATAAAACCAAGGAACACCCTGTATGTCCAAAAAGCTTCCCATCGCAATCTAAATCCTAGAGTTAAATTAGTCATACCTAATAGCGTTTGTTCCAAACTATTCCAAATTATTAATAAAATCTGTCTTCTGTAATCAAGTTCACTGGAAGCTGAAAACTTGTAAGACAGCTGTCTATTCTGGTGGATGACAAGCTGGACATGAGCCAGCAATGTGTGCTCACAACCCAGAAAGCCAACCACATCCTGGGCTGCATCAAAAGAAGTATGACCAGCAGGTCAAGAGAGGTGATTCCACCCCTCTACTCTGCTCTCATGAGACCCCACAGGGAGTACTGTGCCCAGCTCTGGAGCCCTCAGCACAGGAAAGGCATGGACCTGTTGGAGCAGGTCCAGAGGAGGGCAACAAAAATGATCAGAGGGCTGGAATACCTCTGGTGTGAGGACAGGCTGAGAGAGTTGGGATTATTCAGCCTGGAGAAGAGAAAGCTCCAGGGAGACCTTATTGCGGCCTTTCAGTACTTAAAAAGGGGCTTAAAAGAAAGATGGGGACAGATTTTTTAGCAGGGCCTGTAGCGACAGGACAAAGGGTAATGATTTTAAATAAAAGAGGGGAGATTCAGGTTACATATAAGGAATAATTTTTTTACGCTGAGGGTGGTAAAACACTGGCCCAGGTAGCCCAGAGAGGTGGGAGATGCCCCATCCCTGGAAACATTCCAGGTCAGGTTGGACAGGGCTCCGAGTAACCAGACCTAGTTGAAGATGTCCCTATTCATTGCACAGGTGTTGGACGAGATGGCCTTTAAAGGTCCCTTCCAATGCAAACCATTCTATGATTCTCATTATTACCAAAGTAAAATCAACTGTGGAAGGTTAAAGAACCATTTTTCCTTTTATCATATACACTGGCAATTGAAGAAAATATGACAAGTGCTTAGAGTTAGTCTCCTAAGCAAACAAAGGTTCCACATGAGCAAGACCCAAAGAAAAAATTACAAATCTGATATATGACGACCTACCTCATTGATCATTTCTATTTCTCTAAAGGTCAGTCTGTCCAGCCAGTCCACTTTCACCATGTGACCTTGCCGATGAGACTTGGTAAGCTGCATGAAAAAACACAATGATAACATTTAAATTACTTGGAGCTAGAAAAAGAATATAAAAGTTACAATTTAACAGAGACACTACCATGAAATCAGGGGGAAAACCAAAGGAACTAGAAAAAATGCTTATCCAGTACACACACAGTAGATTCTTGTGAACAGCTAAGCCATGTCATAAAATTAATTCTACTCTCTGAAACACTAGTCACGGCAAAGACCAAAACCACATACCAATCACATCATCTCTCCATTTTTAACACATTAAAAACAGGAAACTATTTTTTAAGCAAAGTCATATAACAAAGATATTTCATTTTTTGGGTTAACAAGTGTCATCTAGTAAAACTTACTAAGCCAAAGGAAAAGAATATATTTCAAAAGCTATCCAAATTGAGTAATTCTGTCCTTGTTAGCCTTACCTAGACAAGCTTTCAGATTGGGACTTACACATCGCTAAAAGTCAGCTGAAGACTTACAGCAAATCATAGAGAGCTTGTTCCCCTTCCTTTTAGTCATCTGAAAAGTAGTTCAATTGTCACACCTACATCTACATATTGCTGTAAAAATAGCAAGGAAGTCGAGCTGTTTGAAGGGCTACATAACAGTAGAAGAGTGGAAGAAAAGGTAAGATATGAGCCATAGTACCTGTAGTTTCAGATAAGCTGATACACAATAGTTAATGAAAATTCAAGAGAAAACTCCAGGATGCAGAGCCATGGCTTTTTCATTAGTAGCAATTTTATAAGAAACATTCATGAGTTTTGTAAGAGCACAACCATACGGCATCTCAACATGAAATGAGAGGCTTGCCATAGTATCAATTATTTAAGGTAAAAGGATGGAACTCCTCCAGCATCTAGTCATTGCTTTTACACAAATTCCCTACAGTAATAAATACCACACACAAACTCAGAAACACGTCAAGAGAACAAAAAGCTATTTTTAAGATGGAGAAAAGATCCTTCAGCAAGCGCTACTTAAAAGGTACTTATTACCTGGAGGACTCTAATTTGGGCTCTGGTACCAGACATCAATCAGTAGCATGGGACTTATAAATGGTAAGTCGGTCCAATAGACAAAGAGGAAAAAAAAAAAACCAAACTAGGAATAACAAAGTCCACATAAACTTATCTTGCACTTAATTAGTCCTACTCCTCTTACCTGTATTTAAAAATACGCTCACATACAGAAGCATCAGGAGGCATTCAGCAACTGATGAGTAAGTCATAGAAAAACTGAAGCTGTTTGTATTCAAACAATGGCTATTTAGGAATGATAAATCACAAGAACCTCATCTGCTGTGTAAACAGCTGTGCAAATGAAAGCTTTCACAGACACACTACCCAGAAACCCTATTCACTTTGCTAGCAACTGATAGTAAAATGTTTTTATAAATGAACACTACAAAATATCAGTGAAAACATTCTCATCTTTCAGAAATTAGTATCTCCCAAAACAGCTTTCAGAAGAGAACACAGTGACAGTGATGTTATCAGGTTTTTATTAGCCATTAACTAGAGCGCTCAACTGGGATGTGAAAGAAGAATCCCCTCCTCCTCCTCAGAGGCTTTGAGCCATCATCTCCTACATGCCAAAAGAACAGGCTAGAACAGACCCAGGTATTTTAAGACTGAAATGCTCTACCTTGCTTGTATTTCTTGAGCCAGGGAGCAGAAGTGAGTGAAGAGAAGAGGACAAAAAACACTGGACACTGGTAGGGTATGGTCACATTTGCGTAACAAACATAACATGAAATGGAAAGCATACACTCTAAAACCCTTTCTCAGAGACCCACTGCCTACATCACATAACCATTTGGTGAACTATAAACAAGACTTGATATTTAGTGTCCGTCTACAGAGCTTCCTTAGGCTAGAGGGGATTTATTCTACTATGATCAAGAAATTGGGTACCACTGCTGGCAGAAAGCTTTAATGAGTTTTCCATTATAAAGCCAAGGTGAACTAAACTCATAAAGGACAAACCTTAAATGAAAGTTGGTTTATTGCTGTGATAAATCTCTAGATGAGAAAATGGACAGACTAATAGTACGGGACCTATCTTTCACTTGCAGTTTTATAAAGGTAAGGATGAAAACTAGGAGACCAAGATTAAGAAAAAAGTACACTAAGTGAGTTGAACCATTAGGCAAGCTTAGGGTAAGTTTAGCTGAAGAAGGAGAGAGATCAGGCAGTCAAACAGTTTGAGAACTAACATTTACTGATCAATTGCAGAAGTAGTTTTGATGGCAAAAATACACTCTGCCATCAAGCTGGGAGAAGAAATACTAATATGCACACATACATGAGCTTAAACGAATTAAACTTTTGATAATTTTTTGCAGTTCTACTAAAATCCTTTCTAATGCAGAGGTATGTCATACACACCAGAACACTACAGCAGACAGCCTTAAATCTAAAGGATGGCTACTGAAAGAAACTAGACTGTCCTCACAAGTTACTGTTAGGAGCTGCTGTTACTGAACCCGATGGAATTTTGGCTTCAAGCATCTTCAAGGCATGTTTACCTATTCAATCTTTACAAAAAAATTAGGATTTTAAGTTTTTCGAACAGAATTCTATGTATATTAAAAGGTATTTGTATGCCCCCTTTTAAAAAATACTCCAGAAGCAAATGAGCATGATCTAGTTTACTCATTTGTATAAATGCTGTGGAATATCTAAACAATCAAAGAAAGATAGCTTTCACATGAGAAAACAATACAAGAAGCCTGTCTTCATTAAAGCTTGTCTTCATTTCACTCCAGTGAAAGCACAAGCTTTCCACATACATCTTAAAGGTTACTTGTGATTCCATTACCTTTGCCAAGCGGCTCATTTGATCTTCAGAGACTGTGCTGCTGGTTCTCCCAGGGGTTTTGGTGGGCTCTGAACCGTCAGCTTCTACGTTGGGCCAGACTTTCAAATCATGCATTCCTTGACGAAACATACTGCAGGGAAAAATGCAGAATCGCTTCAGTAAATTCAAAATAATACAGCTGTCAGGAATCAAAGTACATAAGCAGCTACAAGAAAATGAAGTAGCTTCCTTTGCCAAACCTACAAACGTGCACTGCCATGCATAATTTAACTGAACTGCAAAAGTGCCTTGCACCTCATGCCCTCCATGGCCTTCGTTTTTATTGGCACACAGAGTTTAGAAGAAAATGAGGAAGTCTGAGATAACTTATTTGGCAAGTGGAAGAAAAATGGGTAATTCCCAAAGTCAGTGGGCTGGTACAAACACACACTGAGGACAGAGCTTGACCTTCATAGTTTTATTGTTTGTAATGAAGCAGAAAGTATTCCTCTTGACTTGCAAGTTATCATACCGACTTTACATCTGCCAGTCAGAAAAAAAAATTGAACTAAAAAACTACCTAAGTTTCATTTGAAGGTCAACTGATACAAAGCAGCCTTCTGAGCTGCCAAATAAAAAAAGAAAAAAAAAAACCAAAACACAAACACACACACCCCTCCAACCCTGAACACACCATTTTCTCCATCTGTGCTTGAAATTGAATTGGTAACTGAAACTGTGCAGTGAACAGAACTTTGCAGGGTAACTGACCATACCTTTTCTCTGAAAAACCCTGCTTCCCTTGCATATTTGTCCTGACCCACCTATAAACGATGTTCCAAGAAATCAAATGCATCACTTCTGCCAATAAGAACTGATCACTTAACTCTAATGGCTTCAGGTAAATACAATTGGAAGGAACACTTCAAAAAGTCAAACATTAAAAATGAGAAATACCAACTAGAAGGACCCTCTGACCTTGAATTTACACATCACTGTGGAATACTACTACAAGGGTTTCTATTTACAAGTAAATGTAATTTACAAATAATGTCAATATTATTTGTTGCTTTCTGTCCATCTACTTCCCCCGGGCCCCACATGCTGGAAATATAAGTTTCATTTATAAATTTTGTCTTTTTTCCAGGAACTATGATCTGATGCTTTAGAAACTTCCAGCAGTCTTTGGGGCACAGTCCAATTGATCCAGTTCAATTTTCTGCGCTAAGACACTGTCAAAGCAGCATCTTCAGTGACAGAGACACAATCTCTCTCTACAGTCACTTTCTGCATTCGAGCATGACTAGAACAGCTTTCCTAATGCTAAACTAAACTTTTCCTGCACTTCAGTTTAGTCTTATTACTTCTCATCCACTGGCAGGACAAAAAAGGCTATTTCTTCCCATTTTCCAACACTACCTACAATGCGTTGGAAAAGCATTCCTACACTCTTTTCTTCAGCCTCACCAGTCTTTACTCCTCCTCCATCACACCTATTTGCTAGACGTTCAATGATATGGACTCCCTTTGACCCCCAGTAGTCAGCAACTTACTTAAAGTCAGTTATATAGAACTGAACATATCCCAGCCAAGTAGACAATTATGGAAAAGGGGGATACAACACTGTCCCTGATGTGCATACTTGTAAACTGTTCATATATTCAATGTGGTTTGCACATTTCACAAGAGCATCACGATACTGAATCACGCAAAACTTAAGATTTACCTCCTAAACACAAATCTTTTCCTCTGTTTTACTGGGCAGCTGCACCCCATTCTGTATTTGACTACAAGTAATTGCAAAAATTAGCAGTGCCTTGTACTTTTCCTTAAATTGCATCCTATTTTTTTAATCCCCTCTGCACTTACCCAAAGTCCTTCTGACGTACTGTCACTTTCTAGCACGCTTGTAATCCTTCCCATCTTAGTGTTATCACCCACAAATTTATTAAACCCACCCTGTATTGGATCACAGATTATTAATTTTGAAAAATCCCGATTTACTGAGTTATACTTTATTTGTTATAAATAATACTGCATTAACAACGCAATTGCAAGCCAATTAAATCAATTATGTAGTCGGTACTGGCATCCATGCATTAAAAAAGTATAAACATGAAGCGATTTCAGCATTTGCTGCCTTAAAATCCAAGTTCACAGATCTGGGAAAAAAAAAAAAAAGCCTAAATTTTGGTATTATAAGACAGAATACTTTTTTTTTTTTTTTTTTTTACAACACTGTAGCATGTATGAAGTTGCACTCAGGAGAGTAAATCATCCACGATTCAGATTTTTCAAGCATGAATTGTTAACCTGGCTTAAAAAAATTTGAAAGAAAGTCTCTTGTAACCACTGCTACCTTACTATTCACAAATCTGAGCTTCAAATCTGTACCACAGAAGAAAAAACAGTATACCCATATTTCCCAAAGAGCGAGACCGTTGTTCCTCCCACCGGAACTGCTTTACCAGGTCCATATACATCCCAGATAGTCAGAGCCACCTGTGCATTGCGAGGCAAGTCTGGATACTTCACAGGCAGTTTCAGCCATTCATTCCAGCTGCAGAGACACACCTTTTATTAGTCACAAAGCTTTAGAATTCAAGTTACTATGTATTAGTTCATACAATCCAGATTCTCCTTACAATATGAATTTCTAAGGGCAGATGGACTATTTTCCTGTGGGCTTTAACCTTTCAAATACTTGTCTTGAGCATGACTAAAAGGCTAGACACCAAAGGAAAAATACTCTGGTTTAATCTCTGTCCAGTAAACAGTATAAAAGTGTGCTAGTCCAGGCCCCCAAAGTTATTTAAGTAGGGAGGCATGCCTAAATACACAAGCAACAATTTGATCACTTACCGATTACACAAAAAGGTTGGTTTTGTGCTGTCAGGGTAACACTTAATAACCATACAGAGGCTTGCAGAAACATGTTATTTGAAGAAGACAACAGAAAACAAATCTTTCTGACACAAATAAAAAACATAGAGATTTATTTACATAACTTGATGCCCCAGTAAGTTAAGAGGAATATGAAATAAAAGACAGTCACTTACTTCCACCTAGTGCTAAAAGCTTTGTAGGAAGTTCTAACTGGAAGAGCAAGAGGCTTCCCTTCTGCAAACACCTGACAAGTTACATACAAGTCAGAGCAAGTTTCTTGATACAGTCCCGAGAACTTCAGCATTGGATCTTCTAGGAGAGCTTTATAACTCTTCTGTTCTCTTTTCCCCTCCAGACTTCCTCTACGTGGGGAGCAAAACAAAAAAAAAAAAAAAAGGGGGGGGAGAAAAAAGAAACAAACCAAAATTTACCTCATCCACAGTACAAATCCTATTTTATTTCCATAACGTGTATTTAGATTACCCAGTACTGAGGCTATCCTAACTTCACATTACTAGTCAGTAGTGAAATCCAAATATTGGAGAGGAACTCAGGATGTGAAGTGATGAACAAATACAGAATTTATTGTTATACTGATCTGGGCAGGGGGGTGGGAGGGAAGCAGGGAAGGGAAGAATTACTTGTTTGTCTTTTCAATGGAGATAACTTCTTCTAGTATAACCTGTAGATTCTCAGACAACATCAAATGAGGTACCCTAAACAGGGTAACGATGACATGACATATTCTGCTATGACTAAAAAACCAAAACAAATGTCAGCATACATATGCTCTAAATACTACTTGGAAAAAAAAAAAAAAAAAAACCAGAAACCATGCTAAGAAGAACCTTATTTTAACTGTATGACATGTGAAACGTGTGACTGGCTTTGGATGCCAGCTATCTCTCTAACCAACAACAAATCAAAGCTCAACTAAGCAGCCTGTCCAAATCAAACTTGATTAAAGCCCTGCAACAATTTGCAGAATGCTAGTGTTAAGAGTGAACTGATGGAATTTCTCAGGCCTCAGCTACACCACGATGAAAAGAATCATGCATATTAAATATCTGACTGTAGATGCAAATGTGAAAACAAAAAAGGAATTGTGGTGGTGATGGGAAAACATGTAAGATCAAACTTCCAGCAAACAAAAATCTATCAGTACCACAAAACCACTTCACAGTACATGAACAAGTATCTTGCAAGAAAGTAGCATATCACATTCCAGGATAACATACACTCTGACGCACTAAAAAAAAAAAAAATCAGTGTTACACTTTTAACAGGCAGAATGAATTAGCAAAGAGGACACATGCATCTGACTTCAGGTATCATGTTCCATTCGGAAGTTAAACAACTTCCGAATATGCTTTCCCAAGTTAGTTTTCCCAAAAACTTACACCTTAAAGTAGCAGCATACACCTTAAAGTAAGCGATACACCTTAAAGTAGCAGCATTAGGTGTACTACATTTTAAAGCCAGTGTAAAGTTTAGAAGTATGAACATCCCACTGCTCTGACGTAGAAAAGAAGAGCCTCAAAAATTAAAAGATGAGCCAGAAAACACATCAGTGTGTGGTAACACCAGCTTCAACAGGAGTGCTTGCATACACCCAAATGGGAACATACTCACACGCTGCTGCACCTACCACTAAGAGCGACCTGCTTTCGAAGCAGCATGCAAACAAGTAGGAAAAAGAGCGTGGCCACTTTATACCCTTCCCCTAAACACTGAGGGGTGACACCGGCAGGTGAAAGGTTATCAGAGACATCAGCCCTGAACCCACAATCAATCTTAGCCTCGAAGCACCGCCCTGCGCTGCCGGACCTAAAGCCACGAACGCCGGCAAGGCGTTCAGAGCGAAGCTCGCCACCCTGCCCCCCCAACACTCAGCTTACTTGTTGTTGGAGAGAAACAGTCAAGTGTCAGACATGCAAGTCCTAAAGAAATGAGCAAATACAAGTCATTTTTCTCTGAAAGCTCTTCCTTTGGATCACTTTCTTTAATAAATTTGGAGGAGAACTGCAGTCTCATGCATGTCAAGAGAAAGGCTGCCCGTGCTTCGGAGAGCTGTATTTTCGTCCCTTGATGAGAGTGTTGCAATGACAGTTTCCACCAGAAGATATTGGTTGTCTTACACGCAGTAAAGCACTGAGCGGTGACTTGATCATGGTCATTCAGTACTTACACGGGGAAGAGATTTGTTAGCAAAATGCTCTTAAATTGAAATGAAAATGTTCTAACAAAGCCCAATGGAAGCAAACTTCAAAGACGTGTTCAAACTTAGATGGAGGTATGACTCTAAATAGCAGTGGTAACTAATCACTGCAACAGCTAAATGCAGTGGGTTCCCTGCCACTTTAACGCCTTTTAAAAAGACATCGGTGGTTGATTTAAAGAGGTACTACAGTGTTAGTGGAAAGAAAGGGATTGATACAAATTAGTGGGTGGCTGTCCCACCGGAGGGTAGAGAGGGCTGGGCGGCGCGGCAGCAGCCTCCGTGGTGATGTGTCTGAAGGGGCCAAGGCTCTGCCTGCTGCTCAGTTTTCCAGCAGTTTACCTCAATTTCACACTGTCTCCTCAGGCTGCGATTCTTCATGCCGCAGCCACGTCCCTCATCTCCAAAACCCTTCAGTGCCCCAAAAGGTGGGTGCTGCTTCTGTGAGGCTTATGGGCTGTATACGGTATGTTTATTCCAGGGGTAACCACATACCGGGTAATTTTAGAATTAATGATTATTGCTTTTCCTTGCTGACAGCTCTGAAGAAGGCTGAGTAGAAATGGCAGTTGTCTTCTGCTACCGTGCAGCGAACACTGCGCAGGATGCAGAAATATGGGTTGATCGTTGAATTCATGGTGCTGATTTTATCATGAATTGCACCAGGCTTACGCTGGGGGTATTCTTTGCTCATTTGTTACATTTTTCCTGAAGCCTCAGCTGCCAACAGCAGTAGGTGATCAGCAGTCATCACCTAACAGAAAACAAAATCATGAAGTATGTGTGCAGAATGACGCTACATCAGACACAGGCAACAAAAAATCACTCAGGACTTACATATTGTAAATAATGGTATGATTTTAAACATTCCTGAATGTTTTGAGGGTTAATAAGGATTACAGGCACTTTCAAGTAATAAAAATGCACACATTGTTACTATCCTATGCTTATCCTATGTTAGGCCAAGCAGCTGGGGCTGACTAAATAGGTTTGTGTTTTATCATCCACCACAGCCGCTGATCTTCTCAGGGCTGCTGAACGTAAGTGTAAAAAGTGCAGTTTTGGTATACCTCGCTGTACGTGCAGCAGCGATAGTCCTGAGGAAGCATCAGGACGGGTGCTCTCCCCCAGCATGCGCTGCTCATGTTAAAAAAAAAAAAAAGAAAAAAAAAAAAGAAAGAAAATTGTCATTTGATACCAGCACGTTCTCCGTTTTCCCAGCAAGAACCATTAACAGGTGGATGTGGAAGGACATGTCTTCAGACAGTCCTTTCCTCTTGCAAGTCAGCAGCGATGGGGGAAGAGGCTGCAGCAGGGGAGGAACCCTTCTTTAATGAAAGAAGGACTATTTCACCTCAATGCTATTCTTTTTCCCTTCAGGTGTTGTGACCAGGAGGTCTTTTTTTTTTTTTTTTTCGTTTTTCTCCAAAAAACCTAGGAAATTATAGAAGGCCATGACCCCAAACCATATATCACTAAAATGAAGCCATTGCTTTCCAGCACTGCCAACCTGTCGTATGTCATGAGTGCAAAATGTAATTTAAATACAATTACATTAACAAATTCCTTTGCATAGATGATGTTGAAATAACTTAGAGGAAAAAAAAGTGATCTTTTTGTCCAGTTTTCTCTATTTTTGTCACTTTTTGATCACATTGATACTTTCTACAGCCCTGGCAACTGCCATTCATTTATTGCCTGCCTTGTAATTTTTGATGGCTTCTGTTTGTTTGTGAGTTTGGTTCCAGCCCGTTTTTTTTCATAAAATCTCCGCTTTCCATAACAAAGATAAACAAACGTATTGCTCTTCTTGGCTGTGGAGAAAAAGTAAACCATGAAAGTGTAAAAATTTAAAAGACAAATAAATCTCACAGTTTTAAAGCTGAGCAATGTCTGTGTAAGTGTGTACAAGAAAGTCAAGTGAGTTTGTATGTGTGAACCCAGTTTGGTATTATTTTGTCTCGGGAAAAACGGTATTCTTTTTCAATTGATGGAATTAGTAGTATCAGTTAAATAATCTCACCATTGAGTTCACCATTGCAGAGGTGTTTTCAGTCATTATTCAGATTTTGTTTATTTATCAGAAAAAAGCTAAGGGGAAAAAAAATTACAGAAGACCACAGAAGCTGGCATCCAAAAAGGTTTTTGAAGTGGTGTATTGCCCAACTTTCTCAGATTCCAGTGTGCCTAACTACGTAAGTAAATTAAGTCTGTGGGAGGCAAAAGAGGAGAAAAATGTTTAGGAAAGACATTTTTGACAACAAAATTGTAGAAAGATCTGATTTCAATCAAAAATGTCACTTTATACAACTTTCTCATATTAATAACCTTACATTTGTAAGTTCTCAAATACTGCCATAGAGGCAGATAGAATGAGTATTTTTCACCTTGAAGGATCCCAAAGTACTTTGAAAACGCAGCAGTGAACACACTATACGTGTCTGGGAATCACTGCTGACACCGATCTTGCCGGAGGTGACATGTCTGAGCGGATGCGGTGTCTGTACGACATGCCACGCTGCTGCAACTGAGGTAGCACACGAGAGCTGAACGGGGCCGTTTGGTACGGAGTAGATGCAGAGCTGGATAAGGGCATTATCCGGTTTTCTCTCTGCTGCCACTTCTGTGGATCCTTAAGGGCACTTGGCGTTCATGGCAACACCTCCACTGCTAAAAACAGTCGCCGTAGGTTGTTACCCCTGAATTGAGTGGTAAGTGTGGCTCACATCTACCCTATCTTGACTCGGCACCTGCAGACTGGTCCATCTGTATCCCAACTGCAATAATATTTGGTCCGTCTCTTCTCAAAGTTTCAGTGACCGCTCTTGTGGCCAAAAGACATGATTATTTGTGTGTGTGTTTTCCTACTCAAAGTGCCTGATACAGTGTAAGGGTTGTTTTGCAGCCTGCAGGAAGTTTTTTGTATTGTGACATCTAGGGCATGGCATGAAGGCACATTGTGGTGGTTGAGTACTTCTGGCCTACTGAAGCAGGGCAGGATTATTCCAAGTGCTGCGTATCAAAGGCACATCTGTTCTCCTATTGCCAATCTGTAGCACACCCATAAGCAAACTTTCCTGGCAACT